TGATCGATGAATAAGATATGCAAAATTTCCAATTCACGAAAACAAATATGAAATTAGATTAATAGAAAGGATTTATTTAGCATGAAAAATGCTTGAACACGCACACAGCTAAAAAAAAGCTCGTTTATATAGAAAATGAAGTGTTATTCACTCTATAGCACAATGTTTTATTCCTTGGTTCCGACAGTTGCATTGATAGGAGCAACAGGAGTTTCAGCAATCGTAAATTGATCGCCTGAAAGCCAACCTTGATTTTCTCTATCTGCTTTCTTGTGTGGGTCACAGTCCGGTGTCTCTTGACCAGTCATCTGAGCTTCGAAGATAGCAGCTGTTTGCGCTGCCTTGCTATCTGTTAACAATAATTACTAACATTATCCAACAAAACAGTTACTAGAAAATTTACCTTTTTCTGCTGAACTCATTATTTGTCTGTTAGTTTGATTGTATGTACTTGCTTCTGAATAAGAAAATGAATAATGTCGACTCAGATATCGTTGCTATTTATCTTTCTCTCATTACTGTCGATTATTCTCTCAGAAAATATCGATTCAATAATATTATCATCTGCACAACTACTAAGTGAGAAATATGTCCGTAATGCCCTTCGTTATACGTGATATTCTACTGCATGACCGGCAAATAAGAAGTAACGAGTGGAAGCAATAAGTTTCTTTCTTGTCTTGGCGTATATAATCGTCCGGAAAGAACATATTTTGTCTTTCTCCCATTGAAGGTTAGCTTTTTATAGACGTTATTTCTTGAATGAGAGAACAAGACATTTAGCAATTATCGATGTACATACAAAGATATTTATTAGATTAAAAGAAAAATGAATTAATGAGAATCATTCTGAAAGATAATTTCAAAATGATCGCTATCTTCTGATGTTAAGAATTTATTTTATTTCTAGATTGTTGTTAATCTAACATGAAAATATTAAAGAATTATTTTAGTAGTATGATTAACGTTATCTCAATCAATCTAGACTTTGATTTTTCAAATAAATAAATTGTTGCTTCATGTAATGACTAATTTAGAACCTAATGCTCTTTTAAAACCAGCGAACATCTATATCGAAATAATTTTTTTCCTCAGCAAGATCTTCGACCAGTTCCATATGACTCGCTTGGATATACTACGCTGCAATGACGACTCGTATTTATGCGGACTTGGTTGAAACTGATCGTATTAGGCTGGATGTCGGGTGCTGGTCTAGGCCTTCCCTTTCCTCACGCGCCGAACTCATTCCATAACCACCTACAGCCTTCTTTTCTAGTCACTCGAATAAGTCATCGTCAGAAAAAAAAATTCAACGTTAAACAATCATCTGCTAACTTTTCTCATATTAGAGATGAAGAGTAGAGCCTGTCGTGTCGGATCGGATTCAAGAAGAATTCGGGTGTGAAAATTTTTTGTTAACCGGGTCCGAGTCCGAAAACCGTTTGGACCCGCTGCGTACCAATCTTCTGAAAGATTTGTGGTTTGCGCTAGTCACCGAATGCAAAAAATCGGAAAACAGTATCTGATATCTTTGGAATGCAAGGGGGAAATAACTGACTTTTATGACTTTTACGACTTTAAAGTCATTTAGATCACTTAGATCATTTAGATCATTTAAATCGCGAAAGTCATTCAAAGTCATCAATAACTCAGTATATTTGAAAGAGAATGTTAGTCAATATTCATCTAGAATCTGTTCACATGTTAACATATCAATATACGCTTCGATCGTGATACAAAAACAATGATTTAACCAAAACACACATGGAATACAACTATGGTCCATTTCAAAAACAATGACGAGTGGGTATTTTTCGAAAAACTTTTGATAGGAGCAAGGTAGTGAGTTGCGGTTTTCATCATAAGAAAGAAAAGATCCAGGAGTATCAACATATGCTAAAATTCGATTGGTCAGCAATGAACGAATTGGATGCATTTTCGAGGGACATGTTGAGAACGGTACCTTGGGTCCATTTCGTAACTTGGCTCAATTGTTAATTTACATTTGTGGTAGAAAAATTGTTCTCTTTCGATCTATGCATGACAACCATTCTAGCTTGTTTGGTTAGGGGTGCAACAAATCTTGAATAGATTTGGGATTTGGCACCAAATCTTTGAGATGTGGACTTGGATTTGGATTTGGGTATGGTTCGGATTTAGTTCCTAGATGTGGATTTCATCTAGATTTGAATCTCAGGATTGCTGCTATCGCTTTGCTTGGCTTAGATTTCGGATTCGGAATTGGTGATATGCTTGAAATTTGGGATTTGGATTTGGACTTGGATTTGGGTTTGGGTCTTAGATTTGGATTTGGACTTGGGATTTGGTTTCAATCTAACATGACTCCAACTTTGTAGTCTTGTTATATTGAAACCAAATCTCACACCCAAATCCTACCCAAATCCCAACCTGCTATACACCAAATCTCAAATCCAAATCTAAGATCCAAATCCAAATCCCCAAACCAAAATCTGTACCAAATCCAAACAATTTCATATCAATTTATAAGACTTGGGATTCTTTTCTCCCTTCTGGGACTTTATTTTACAGCTCCTCATCATATTTGGGTAATTTAAGACCAAACCCAAATCCAAGTCCAAATCCCAGTCTAGAACAAACCCAAATCTTTTTGTACCAAATTCCAAGGCTTTGGATTTGTTGCACCCCTATGTTTGGTTCAAGAGATACAAGGTTTTTTCTGAGACTACTGATTTCAGCCAATTAACTGTGAACCATCCAGAAAACATTTTGGAATAGGGTAATTCACAAAGAGGAAACCAATGAATTTATGACGTAAATAATTTAAACGCCCTTTTTTGACTTAAGGCGGTCCCCCTCAGAAACGAACTTTGTTATTTTTCGTCCGATTTCAACCAAATCTTGGGAAAATATTAGTTCAGGCCAGGATAGATTATGGTTCAAATATCTCCCCTAAACCTCCCATATACTAACGAGGTATAGTCAATTTATTGGTGAAAAGTACCCTGTACGCGGGCAAGCTTTTCGTAATCAGAATACGAGCTAACATGCCGGGGCATTTTTTAATTTGTAGAGTACCCTTAGGGTTAGATCCTCACAGAGCCCCGATTTTTGAAATTCCCTTTGCTTGTTTTTTAAAAAATCTTGTCCCAAAAATTCTTGAATTCATGATCAAAAAAATCACTGCTAAAAATGAAATATGTGAGTTTTTTGTTTCGTCGATAGAGATATTCAAAAATCGGACTCTGTAAGAATCTAGTCCCAACTGTCCTCTATACAATAAAAAAAATTATCACTTCTCTATTGAATCGTTATTAGAAAAAACCTTGTCCACGTAAACAGTATGCTCGAAAAAAATTGATTTTGAGAAAAAAAGGATAAGAAGTTTTTAAAAACCTATTTTTTTTCAATATGGGGGTTCAGAAAAACCTATGTAATATCCTTAAATCTCATGATAAAATCAATCAATTATAGTGCATTCGAGAGTAGACATTTTGCTCTATCTAATGAGTTATAAATCACAAAATCGATAAATTTGACCAAAATTGACTTTTCTGGGGGGGGGGGGGGGGGGGGGGGATGTATTGAAATAA